TACATTTTTGGCAAATTCGATACCTTCATCAGAAGGCTGAAGAAGATCATAGAGATGTTCGAAACAATAGAAATGTACTCTCATCTTTCTGAGTCAAAGATCGAAGGTTATTGATATATTTTTTTTTTCGTTTGATGTAATGAATGTGTCATATATTTGAGATCATGACGGTGGGGTTTAATATTTGGGACAATTGGCAGCTGGAGTAATGGATAGCGACTCGGATTGAGGAATCGGAGAGCACGGTTCGAATTCCAGTCGAATCCATTAGATTCACTTACGTGCTAATACTTCTCTCCTCAGATATGGGTAAATAGGACAGACCGAGTTCTACTAGACACGGTGGAGTAATGGATAGCGGCTCGGATTGAGGAATTTGAAAGCCGAGTTCGAATTCTAGTCGAATCCATTACATTCACTTACGTGCTAATACCTTTGGGAAAGGGATGAATCCTCTTCCTATCGCCCTCCAGCTATGGGTAAATAGCAGGACAGACCGGCTTCTATAGCCTTGGATGGCAAATGGTTTACCGCAGAGAGAAATGGCAACGTAATCCGGGAAAAAAATCTGCCTCGTCAGACATTTATCGAAAGATACATGATCGCCTAAGCGTGTATCTACGCATGGCACATAACTGACTGACAGGAAAATGGGTCATTATTTGGATTATTTATTTTTCTATTGTTGGCTTCAGCAGAATTTCCTGGAAAGAAGTTTCAAATTTGAATAATTTAAAAGAACGTCATTCCAACAGAGAAAACAGATGTAGAGCCAAATCATGTTGAATTGTATATGGTCTATGTTAATTATGTTTTATGAATATGTCCTGAAGATGTTCTATTAGACCGAAACGTCCGGCGTTGACATTAAACATTAAAACAGCATAATCGCATATTAGAATTTTTGTTTGTTTTTTTCATTATATTTTTCTTCATATATATGTATGTATGTATATAGGGAAGAGTTTATAGTTGTTCCAGCGAGAGAAAAGTGTGTATATTAAAAAGAAGAGAGAAACCATAACCGTTTTTTGGTTGTAATGTGGATTTTTAAAAAAATATATATTATGCTTTTTTTTCCATAATTTTGCAACACGTGTTTCGGGTCTCGCGATTTTCTTCAGGCAAAGAATGGATATTTCCACATATTATTAAAATAAATTAATTTTCCTTATTTTTTTCGATGTTAAACATTCTTTTTTATCTGTGGTAGTGGCACAAACTAGAAGAAACCTCAACAGAATGCAGAAAGCACTGGACGGCCGTTTCGTCCTATATTTGGGACATCATCAGCAGTGTGCATCCATAGACTTATACCGTGACGATGCGACGCAAATCTGGTTTAACGGGCCTCGGTGACGAAGAATGAATTAGACTCGAACACCGCTCTTCATAAATCCGGGAACTCATCCCAGTTTCCATTACTGAAGACGCTCTAACCAGAGCATTAGAAGCCAAGCAAGGATATCCAATGATAGAATATTCAGTCTAATTCGTTACATCTTCGTCACTGAGGCTTGTTGGTACATTGATCGCTTGTGTTATATCGTAACAGTCCGGGTTCAATTCTCGATAATGGATTATCTCAAATCCTCCTAATCTACATCAATAAAAGGCAGGATTTGGTGTGTGTAACGAATGCACAGCCGCAATTTTCGACGGATTTGCACCCAAAATTACATGCACATGGAAAGGCCAAATTTCCCAACTCCCATCGATAGTGGAAATAATCGATTTTTTCATTTCTACGGTAGTTTCATGTATTTTGCGGCCATTTTGTATTATTTATTTGCCACGAATAGGCAGGAAGATTCTATTGGCCAGCGTGAGAGCCAACAGCTGACACGAATGTTAACTAGCATGCTAACATGCAAAAAAAAAAATAATAATCTATAGCTGCATTCATCACAAGAAAAAATTTAAATCTGTTTGGCACTTAACTCCAATTGGCTCATTTGCTTGCTTAAACTCAACGTTGATTTTGATTCCGCAAACTGGGTTGGGTGAATTTGTTGCTAACATTCTTTTTTTTTCATTCGGTTCGCAAGAAGTAAGATATAGCAACATCAGCACGGCAAAGGGCAGATAGCGATTGCTGTATGAGTCGTACGATTTTTGAATCAAACAGCTGCTAGAAATTATATATATATATATATATATATATATATATATATATATATATATATATATATATATTAGTTTTACTCATTTGAAGTTCACTAATTAATTTCATGGTGGCTGTAGAAAACTGAACAAGAACAATTCCAAAATTTGCTTTCATATAATTTCTATTTTCCCAAGTATGTTTCAACAGTTATCTGTGGATGTTTATATAGCTGATCCATAAATTAAAATATTTAGACAGATATTAGTCGAAGATGTTCTATCAGTATTAGATAGATAGATAGATAGATAACGTCCGAGAGTGGCCTGACGATTTCTAGACATTAAGTCGCCTCCTCTAAGTGTTGACAATGTTCCCTTATAAATATATATATATATATATATATATATATATATATATATATATGTGAATTTTGTGTGTGTGTGTGTTTGTATAGACATATATTATTAAATATAACAGAAAATGACTATTATGCCTGATCATGAGCCGTTCTAATGTTCGAAGGTTTGCTTTAATTTATGGTGAAAATACAGATAAAAATTTTTAGCATTTGGATATTTTTTATGAAGAGTTTGAGTCAACCTCAAGTTGTTCAGCGATATCCACCAAAAGCTGATATTTTGTTATTTTAACATAGTAGCTATGAGACGATAACTATCGCGGAATTGCAGATGCAGATCTCTCTCTCTCTCTTTCTCTGTATATATATATATATATATATATATATATATATATATATATATATATTTTGGACATTTTATTTTATTCTTAAAAATAATTAATCGAAATTTGTTTTCAAAAATATATATATATATATATATATATATATATATATATATATACCAAATTGTAATTGGTCTTATTCAAAAAGAGGACTTTATTATTATTATTATTGTATTTAGAAAACCAAACTTCTTGCCACCGCAGTTTCTACGAATTAGGTGTTGTCAGTTAGTAAAATTCGATATTCCATTCGAAGATACCCTTATGTACTTAATTATGGCGCTGGTAAACGAGAGAAAGAAAGAACCACCTACCCAACAAGCTTGTATGAATGGAGGGTGAAACGGACTACGTGAGGCTTGACTAAGGGAGAGACGTTCCTCAGATCCAAAATGTTGTGGAGAGTCATTATCGTTTACGCCCTAAAGGATCGTGGCACACACAAAAAAGAATATATCACTCATTCTGTCGCATATTTTGCCGGCAGATATTTTTTTTCATAAATTGATCGCTTTTTTATCGCTTTTTTAATTAATATCTATCTATCTATCTATCTATCTATCTATTTTTACGCAGGTTTGGAGGGCATGGTGGTGACCTTTCAAATGATCGTTTCGACAATGAAGAACAAAGCGTACGACTTTTTAGATCAGAGAAAAACGGAATTTGATCAAGATTTTGAAGAGTTCAAACGAAAAAGACATGAACTTCACGTGAGTTTTCATCAATTTTCACTTGAATCCCCTAACCACCATCCACCTCCACAAAAAAAAAAAAAACAAAAAAAAAAACAGAACTCGCATTCCATATTATGCTTGCGTGCAGGCGGACACACGTAGAAACATAATTAGGATGTTAGGGATAGCCTTGTCGTTGAGATATTTGCGTATTTTCATATCAGCTTTGTACACATGCTTCAAAGCAGGGTTGAAAGGCTGATATTTATGCAAGATAGGCTTTCTCTATTTGGACGTTTGGAGTTTAAGCAATCAAATGAAGAAATTCTGTCTACCATTAGTATCAACATTCAAAATTATGCTTTGAGCCATGAGTACTTAGGCTCGGATGAAATGCGAAAATATCTCAGCCACACTTTGGATTAACGTATTATTCATATCGCTCGATTTCCTACTATTTAGCTGTAATTGGTATAACGATAAACTAAATCCGCGCCCTGGGTAAAATGATAAACTACATCCGCGCCCTGGGTAAGACGATAAACTACATCCGCCTTCTAGGTAAGACGATAAACTATATCCGCGTCCTGGATAAGACGATAAACTAAATCCGCGCCCTGGGTAAGATGATAAACTACATCTGCCTCTTGGGTAAGACGATAAACTATATCCGCGTCCTGGGTAAGACGTAAACTACATCTGCGTCCTGGGCAAGACGATAAACTAAATCCGCGTCCTGGGTAAGACGTAAACTACATCTGCGTCCAGGGCAAGACGATAAACTAAATCCGCGTCCTGGGTAAGACGTAAACTACATCTGCGTCCAGGGCAAGACGATAAACTAAATCCGCGTCCTGGGTAAGACGTAAACCACATCTACGTCCTGGGCAAGACGATAAACCAAATCCGCGTCCTGGGTAAGACGTAAACTACATCTGCGTCCAGGGCAAGACGATAAACTAAATCCGCGTCCTGGGTAAGACGTAAGCTACATCTGCGTCCTGGGCAAGACGGTAAACTAAATCCGCGTCCTGGGTAAGACGTAAACTACATCTGCGTCCAGGGCAAGACGGTAAACTAAATCCGCGTCCTGGGTAAGACGGTAAACTACATCCGCGTCGTAAACTACATCCGCGTTCTGGGTAAAACGGTAAACTACATCTGCATTCTAGGTAAGACGATAAACTACATCCGCGTTCTGGGTAAGACGATAAACTACATACATTTAATCGCTTGAAATGCGAAAAAATCTCAGCCACACTTTGGAGTAACGTATTATTCATATCGCTCGATTTCCTACTATTTAGCCGTAATTGTTATAACGATAAACTGCATTCCCGTTCTGGGTAAGACGATAAACTACATCCGCGCCCTGGGTAAAATGATAAACTACATCCGCGCCCTGGGTAAGACAATAAACTACATCCGCCTCCACGATAAACTATATCCGCGTCCTTGCTAAGACGATAAACTACATCTGCGTCCTGGGCAAGACGATAAACTACATCCGCGTCCTGGATAAGACGATAAACTACATCCGCCTCCAGGGTAAGACGATAAACTGCATCGCGTTCTGTGTAAGACGATAAACTACATACATTTAATCGCTCGGCGCAATTAATTTCGAAAGCGAAACACGGATCAGTTAAGTTTTTTTTTACTTTATTTGGAATCCACACATCAAAGTGACTAACATAACCAACCTGGTACAGATGATGCTACATCTGCGCTCTGAATAGGACGATAAACTACGACAGACAGCAAGGCCTCTGATCAGATGATTTTGAGGAGCGTGAAACCACTTCTTAATTGCTGGTGTTCCCAGGTCCGCCCTGACCCAAGGTGGTTGCGCCTGTTAGGGTCCCAGCTATGGGAAAATGGTTGACCTCTAAACTGAGGTAAAAACGTGTAAAATAGGTTTTATTACCAGCAATACATTTTTGTAAAACGTTATTGCCAGCAATGAATTTTTTAAGAAAAATTTATTATCAGCAACACATTGTTACCAGCAATACATTTTGAAAAAAAACAACAACAAAAAAAAAAAAAAAAAAACCCAAAAAACAAACAAACAAAAAAGAACTATTAACAGCAATAGATTTCTGGAAAAATATCAGCAATACATATTTTAAAAACATATTACTAGCAATAAATTTTGAAATAAAATATTATCAGTAATAAAAATCTTGTCGGCATTAAATAACCCATTGAGGTTGATATAACGTAAAACAAAACAAACCAAATCAGTATATACTTAGATAGATAAAAAATATTACCAGCAATAAAAATCTTGTCGGCATTAAATAACCCATTGAGGTTGATATACGGTAAAACAAAACAAACCAAATCAGTATATACTTAGATAGATAGATAGATAGATAGATAGATAGATAGATAGATAGATATGAAGAGGCCAAGAGAGACAGACAGGCATGAAGAGACAAGATAGATAGATAGATAGATAGATAGATAGATAGATAGATAGATAGATAGATAAAAAAAATATTACCAGTGATAAAAATCTTGTCGGCATTAAATAATCCATTGAGGTTGATATGCCGTAAAACAAATAAACCTAACCAAACGTATTATTTAACCTTCTGTTATCTTTGGTAAAACACGCACAAACACATATGTGTGTGTGTGTTTCCGAAATGGCCGCATTCTGATCCACATTTATTTCTACCTAACAACCTTCAGAATAATAAGACATAAGAGATATAACTGTCGCCGCCCACCCAATAATCGTTATGATCAAACAATAATACGGAAATATATGAATACCTGACTTTAGCTATGAGTTAAATCGTAAGGTAGACTGAAATCTGTAGCCTTGGGATGCAGTCACACTAAAAAAAATCTTTTCTGCATTAAAAACTTTGGAGAAGTCAACGGGAAACCCACTTCACTATCTTTCCTAAGAAATCATCATAATTCCCAGATAATACAGAATTTAATCTGCGGGTAGCCACGATAACCTAATTCTTGAAAGGATGGTATAACATTTAAAGATGTTCCTTAATTTTTAGCCTTGCACGATAACCAGTATAAAAGAAGAACTAGAATGAATTCGAAACCTTGGAGAAGGTAATGGAAAACGATTCCACTGATTGTCCCTGGAAATCGTAGAAAAATCACACGAATAAAGAAATCAAAAAATAACTCCAGTTCCCAAGGAGCAACCTCCGCTCATAGTAGGTGCAAACTGATTGGTTGATTATGATCACGTGATCAGGCATAATAATTTTTGTGCCAAAAATTGATAAGATTTTGTTACCAAAAATTGCGAATGTCATAGTTCAGTATGCGTGGTTAATGACGACAAAAATTTAAGCGGTTCATGACAAACAAAGAAGAATTTCTTTAAATTCAAAGACAGTCGAAGATGTGCCAAGAAATCATAGCAATTCACAGATAAAAAAAAAAGAAGAAAAGAACTCTGTGGAGGGTCATAATCGAAACGACATCTTTTTTTTTTTTTGAAGATTTCAAAATATTCCCTGACTTTCAAACATTCAAAATTTGTAACGTTTTGTTCTTTATACTGTTTCTCTCCAAACTCCGCAGGTATCAATTGTCCGTTTCATGGGACAAAAGTTCGATCGCATCGCCAATACAAAGAGAGCCTTGAATATTCTGCATAAATTTGAATGCCTTCATTTGTCCAATTTGGATACAGCCGAACAGTACCAGAGGATCTTGACACACTACGCCAAGGATATCGAAATTGTATCTCGTCTCTACCAGAAGCACAAAAATGACCCACCAGTGGCGAGAGATCAACCCCCCGTAGCAGGTAAGAGCGCTATTAAGCCTGTATTGTACATATTGCAGTTCTTATTGCACCACTGAAAAGTTCCTTTATATTTTTACAGGGTGCGATGGATAAATTGTCTAATTTACTCAAAAATGAAAATAACACTGACATCTCATTTTAGCAGAAATATTCACCAAAATTACACAAAAATATCCTTTAAATACTAAAAAGTAAATTTATTCAATAAAATCGCCATTGGCTTCAACCACGGACTCTAGACGACTTCGGAATCTCCTGCAACTCTTCTGGTCCGTCTCCTCTTTAAGTTGGTGAATCCTGCCCTAATCCTTGCCTTCAGTTCATCTTTCGTGTTAAACTGCTCCCCAGACATAATGATAAAGGGGGTTGCAGACTGGGAAGTTAGGTGACTAGATGTAAAGGCTGATGTGGTCGTACAAATTGTCTGACAGCTATGACTTGATCCTCCTACTTGTGTGGCAGAGTCCAGTTGCTGGGCATAGTGTCTTCCAGTAGCCACCCTCTTAACTCAAGAGAGCACTAACACCTCAAGGCATCTGATGTAGGTCTCTGGGGCCTTGTGGTAAGATGAATGGAGGCATAACGTCGCCATGATTAGTGATCGCTCCAAACACCATGATGTCTGGATATGTCATGTAACTCTTTCCGAATCCTCTGCACTGAACTCAGATTTGACACCTAAACACTCTGAAATGTTCGTACTGGGGCTTTCGACGGGAATGCCAAGCAATATAGCATTCCGTTTTCAAATTTCTGTCGGAGTAAATTGCATCATGGTGGTCCTTTTCTCACAGACGGTGTCCAACCAGTTGACAAAATCAAAAATAAACAATGCGCATGCGCGAAATTAAAAATATAAAATGGCAACTATTTACTCATCGCGCCCTGTACACACACACACACACACACACACACACACACACACACACACACATATATATATGTAATTATGAAAGCGGAGATTTTAGAAACCCATGGTAATATTTTATTTTGCAAAACCTGTACTTCGGTTTCGCTTCATCAGACCAAACAGTTTCAACAATAAATGGATTTAAAATTTTACCAGGCACAAAACGAAATTATTTAAACATAAATTATGCTTTAAAATAAAGATTCAAAATAGGGGAAGGGGAAAAGAAAGAAAGAAGAGGGGGAGAAAGAGAGAGATATATCTGTCTAATGAGATATGGGTGGGGGGTAACATAGAAGTAGTGGATGAGAGTAGACAGATAGACTTATTTCCACCGGATGTGGGAAGAGAAGTAGAGAGAGTATCTTCAAAGGGGAACAGAGGAAATATACAGAGGAAAGAGAGCAAAGGAAAAAGAAAAGAAAGAGGAAAAAAACAAGAGAAAGAAAGCGAAAACTTGAGAGATGTTTCGGAACTGATAATAGTCGGTGTTTAAAATTTCTTTTCAATGCATGTAGTTATTTACGACATCAATACCCGTGTAATTTTAAAAAATAGGTTAAAAATAGGTTAAAAAATAAGATAAAATTTAAAATAACGAATAATTTCCCCCAAATTATATAATAATTTTTAATATATATATATATATATATATATATATATGTAAAAATTTTAAAAATATTTAAAAAAATAATATATATATATATATATATGAAGAAATAGAGACTTAGAGGTGTGCTATATTTATGATAAAATCAATATCAGGACAGGCGTGTGACGATTGCGTCCAGCATGAAACAGACTGTCGCCTCTGAGTGTTGACTTCAATGTTCACTTTTATACTTATATTTACATACGCTCTATCTCTGATATTGAGCACTTTTATCCCATAAATATATACACCTTAAAACTATATTTCTTCTTCTTCTTCTTCTTCTTCTTCTTATCTATATATATATATATATATATATATATATATATATATATATATATATATATATATATGTATGTGTGTGTGTGTGTATACAGAGTCCATCAAAATATGTATACACACTTCAGGCAAAGAATAAATTGTATAGATATTGTAATACTAAATTTAGACATGACGAGATTCATACAAGTTACCTTTGGTCTCTACAATCACAAGAGATGCTCAAAATAGTGACCTTTAGTTTCCAGGCATTTATTAATACGGCGAACTACTGCTTGGTTCAAATCCATTGGGATTACTGCACATGTATTTTTAATTTCTTGTCTAAGGATCACCGATATAATCGGTTTTCAGCGCTACACAACATCCTTTTGGAATTGTCGATGCTACATCCATGACGGTAAAGTCATCTGCCGAGAAAATACTACAGTAAACAGGGTTATCGCAATTTGATAAAAGTACAAAAGACAAGCTTTTCGTTTCCTGAAGTATGTATACATATTTGGGACACTGTACGAGGTCTGTTTAAATAGTAACGAAATTTAGAGCTATAAAATTTAAACGTTATTTTTAGTGGATGCTCATATTTAAGTAGACGCTCCGTTTATTTTTAAAAAGTATTTTATGTTCGTCTATCGGCTTGAATAGTCGAGAAACCTTTTAAAAAAAATGCGCGAATAAATAAACACACACACACACATACACACACACACACACACACATATATATATATATATATATATATATATATATATATATATATATATATATATATATATATAGATGTGAGTTTGTGACCCAGGGTTTCACGCTATTTGTGATCGTCAGACAAAGTGATTAATTTTTAAATTTTGATTTATATATGGTTGCGAATATCGGTGTTTTTATGGAGGTGGGAGGAAAAATTGTCGTCGGAACGCCACTCATACTTACGCAAACATGCATACACGCACGTACACTCATTGATGTACGCAGACAGACACACACGTACGCTCAATTACTGGAGCTCACACAAACATAAACATATGTGAACAGGGTGGGGCTGGGTATATATGCGCATCCATGTGTCGTTGCGTACATAGGTACGCATTTGGTCGCTGTATTCAATGTTGGATTGTGTAACACGTAACGGACTTATTTGCGCCTCATGGATCACTTCTTCCCCACGCGACGTAAAACAATAACTATTACTTTTTTTTTACCTTATCAAATCATAAAGTTGAAAATTCTTCGACAGATAATGAGGAAGGCGTGGCAAATAGGGAATCAGTGAGTAATTTACGTAATGACTGTGTCAATGGATGGCGTTACTAAAGCTAAAAAGTGATGCTAAAAAGTCAAAGGTTTGTTTCGAGCTTACAAGGCACCGTAAGTTGCAGGGTACCATGTTCACGAACGTCGTAAAAGGACATGACACATAAGAAAAATCCCAACTTCTTTAAAGATGTAAAAAGAATGTGGTTCTAGAGAATTAAGCTGAGAATACCATGAACTGAACATGTGAACAACAAGGAAACTTTAAAGGAAAAATGGCAACTAGAAAGACACTCTTAAATTCATAAAGAGACAGTTGAAATTTTATGAGGAAAGATGGTCCGTATAATTCAATACTATATTGCGGGAGGGGGATAGTGGGGAAACGGCGAGTAACTTAATGAGTTCGTGTGAATGCTTAGCAGAGTAAAGACAAAGAGGATTTAAGGAAAGCAAAGCGTTGCTTAGAGCTTCAAGAGACTAAAAGATTTGTTACAGAACAGTTGATTTTCTTTTTTGGAAAATCAATGATAAAGTATAAAAAAGTCTTCGTGTGACACGTTTCGTCCTTTAGGACTTCGGACTAAAAGGATGTCTATTTTGATGCGACTACACATGTGCCAGAAGGAGAGGGGACAGTGGAAATTTTAAATTTAAATTATTATTATTATTTTTATTTTTTATTTTTGCTAAATATATATGTTTGGGTATATTATCTACTCGATTTCATGAAGTTTCTTTTTCTTTTCGTTTATGTTTTTATCTACATTTGTTATTAAATATCCCACATTGCGATGATCGAAAATCTGTCAAGAGAGATGAACGGGAAGAACCTGGACGTAAATTTACTTTAGATGATCTAGCGATTAAATCATTTTGTATACGGGGATATGCGTGTGGTAATGGATAGCAGATCGGAATGAGAAATTGGAGAGCCGAGTTCGAATTCCAGTCGGGCTCATTACATTCACGCGCAAATATCTTTGAGAAAGGTATGAATCCCTCTTCTCTCTTTAGCTATGGGTTAAATAGTAGAACGTGTATCTGGAACAATCATTATTCTAAAAAAATATTAATACAGTATTCACTTGCAAAAAATGTTCCTATAATCCAAAATATGCTTCAGCTATAAATAATCCACAAAGGGTTGATAAGCCTTAAAAAACAAATATAAAAAATATTTCTATACATTTCGTCTTAGTAAATTGCTTTCTGTTTTAATTAAAGTGGCATTTTTTTAAATCAAAATTATGGTCAGATTTAGTGTGGTGAGCAACTAATACATTTTGTGTTTTGTAAAAGATCCCTTGTGTTCAAATAATCTTTTATTTAAAATTCTTGAGGTTTCTCTTATGTATTGCTTGTGGCAGTTACTACCGGTAATAGAATAAATTACTTCTTCAAGTTTTATCTTATTATTTTGTTTTATATTAATTAAGTCTGTCTATATTTCTGAGATGAGGTATTATGAACATTATTTACATTATTCAGACTATTGTCCGCATCTTTGTCGCTATATTTATTACAACGTTTCGGCTGACATCCATTAAACATGGCACGTGGAAATATAACAGTCTACCCCAGTGAGCGAAATAAAGGGTTCAGTTCGACATTCCAACCACCTGAAGAAGGCCGGAGCGTACAACGGCCGAAACGTTGTAATAAATATGGCGACAAAGATGAGGACAATAGTCCGAATAATGTAAATAATGTATTAATTAAGTCTATTATTGTGATGGACTTAGTTGTGATAAATTTTATGTTAAGCTTAGATAAATTCTTTTCGGTTGAAGTTGTGACAGAGCTGGCGAGTAAAACAGTTACTGAAATCTCAGCATTGAATAGTAATTTAATTATTTGTAAACAATTAACTAATTTTTAAAACTTTTTTTTGCTCATTTACAGGGAAGATATCTTGGGCTCGCCAGTTATTTAGACGCATCCAAGAACCAATGGAAGCTTTCCAAAAACATTGTATTATTTTGCAATGTTCCGATGCCAGGCGAATCATCAAGAATTATAATAAAATGGCAAAAATTCTACTGGAATTCGAGATTCTATATCATCGCTGTTGGCTGCGACAGGTAAGTTGTGTCGAATAATCCGCTAACAATTCTTCGATATAAAAGTGTATCCCTGCGATTGTAAGAAGCATATTTTCTTCCTCATAAATTATTTGGAAGAGTATCCTTGTCATTTTCTTTCTCTCATTACGTTCAGGCCGGTTCATTTTGTGGGATTGCTAACGATCATGAAATCATCACTTTATTGTTTAGGCTCGCAATCATAGCAACGGTGAGTATACCAAGGCAAGAGACCCCACCAAACTCAGATCCTTTAGGCATTTTTAAAGACTTTTTTTTATTTATTTCTTTTGCTATCTATTTACTTGATTTATTTCTTATTTTGCAATAATATGACCTGTAAATTTTTATTTACGACATTTCCTTCTTTCTTTCTTTCTTTCTTGCTGTTTAGTTAATTTCCTTCTTACTTTCTTTCAATTTACTTCGCTTCTTTTTTTTTTTTGAGTTCAAAGTTGTCCTTCTTATAGACTGGATGCCATCCAAGGCAAGAGAACCTAATCTAACCTACTATTTAATTTATAGCTAGAGGGAGATTCAGGCACGTTCCAAAGATATTTGCGTGAGCTGAAAAAAAATAGACGTGGTCGAAATTTGAACTCGGCACGTCGATTCCATTTGGACGAGTATCGTCATCTTTGTTGTTAGGTTTTGGCCAGTTTTCTTAGTAATTTTTTTAGCATTATTTCTATTGTTTAATGAATTATTCAGATTATTTTCCTCGCGTTACCGTCATTACGTTTCGATCGATGTACTATTCGGACTTCTGACTAAAAATACGCGATGAATTATTTTTTTAATTATTTAATGAATTATTCGATTGATTATCCCCATCTTTGTTTTTTTCGATCATTATATTTTACAGTAGGTATTAGTCGGACTTTGTCCTTCTTGTCGCCATATTTTTAAGAGTTTCGGCCGTTTAAGATAAAACGTGAAACAATTGACACCCCGAACCCACAAAACCCTTTATTTCATTGTATAGATTATAAATGCATTTTGTATGTGGCGCGTCCTGGGTTTTCCCTCTGAAAGTAAGTCCGTAGCCCAATTATAAAAATACATGTATTTGACACAACAAATATTCACTTTTCATTGCAATATTTCCTGTCAATTCACTGAATTCACTTGTGAATATTAATAAGATAACTCAGATATAATACACTGAAAGTTTCAATACAAAATTCAGTTAATAATGTCGTGTCAAGCTATGGATTTATTGATACACCTTCTTATTTCGTATTTCGCTAAATATTTCTCCATTTTCCTTTAGAAAACCCGACATCTAAATCTATTAGTTTAGTTGATGTTGTTCATCTCTGCATGTAATAAGAGACAAACAATAGCAAACAAGGACATGACTGTGTTCGTGAAATGACTACTTAATTATCTCCCTTATGTCAAGAAAATAGTTGGCGATGAGACCAAACCTTATATTTTTGAAAAACTCTATGACATCTTTAACAGGATGTAAATGATCATGGCTAAAAAATTCTGAAAACATTAGCATTTTTTTTTTTCCTTGTTATCTGTGATTTTTCTGTGTTTTCTTAGGAAAGATAGTGGAGTAGTTTTCCATTGCCTTCTGCACGATTTCGAAGTCAGATTTCTTCTTCTTCCAGACTGGCTGCCAGAAATTCTTTTTTAAAATTTTCCAACCACCTGAAAGTATCAATGATTATTGTCCCAGCAAACATAAAAAATGGTATTTGACCAACGTATCCACTTTTCCACGTTTTTTTTTTTTTTTTAATTTAGAGATATTCTTCCCCTAGAGTTTGTTTAAATGCATATCAACTCCTTATGGGTTAATTAATGTCCAAATTTTATTTTTTTGTGAGCCTTGGCAAATTTTTCCTAAAAATGTATTACTTTTAAGTTTATTTCTAATAATGTATTGTTAGTAATTTTTTTAATCTTTTTTACTATGAAATATACTGCTAGTATTGTTTTCGTTTTTTTCCCTTTATGAAATGTATTGACGATAGTATTTTTCTTTTTTTTTAAAATGAAATTTATTGCAGGAGTATTTTTTTACTATGAAATGTATTTGCTAGTATTTTTTTCTTTTTTCTATGAAATGCATTGGAGCTAGTATTTTTTTACTATTTCGAAAATGTATTGACTGGTATTTTTTTTTAAGATGAAATGTATTGCAAGTATTTTTTTTTTTTAACGTTTTTTTTTTATTGCTAGTATTTTTTACTATTTGTTTAAATGTATTGCTAGTATTTTTTAATTTAAATATGAAATGTATTGCTAGTATTTTTTTACTATGAAATGTATTACTAGTATTTTTTTTTAATTAATGAAATGTTATTTGCTAGTATTTTTTTTACTATGAAATGTATTGCTAGTATTTTTTCTTTTTAAATATAAAATGTATTGCTAGGATTTTTTCTTTTTAATATGAAATGTATTGCTAGTATTTTTCTTTTTAATATGAAATGCATTGCTAGTATTTTTTTACTATGAAATGTATTGCTAGTATTTTTTTAATATGAAATGTATTGCTAGTATTTTTTCTTTTTAATATGAAATGTATTGCTAGTATTTTTTTACTATGAAATGTATTGCTAGTATTTTTTCTTTTAAATATGAAATGTATTGCTAGTATTTTTTTACTATGAAATGTATTGCTAGTATTTTTCCTTTTTAATATGAAATGTATTGCTAGTATTTTTTTACTATGAAATGTATTGCTAGTAGTTTTTCTTTTAAATATAAAATGTATTGCTAGGATTTTTTTACTATGAAATGTATTGCTAGTATTTTTTTTACTATGAAATGTATTGCTAGTATTTTTTTACTATGAAATGTATTGCTAGTATTTTTTTTACTATGAAATGTATTGCTAGTATTTTTTTTACTATGAAATGTACTGCTAGTATTTTTTCTTTTAAATATGAAATGTATTGCTAGTATTTTTTCTTTTAAATATGAAATGTATTGCTAGTATTTTTTTACTATGAAATGTATTGCTAGTATTTTTTTCTTTTTTACTATGAAATGTATTGCTGGAAATCTTTTTAATGTATTTTTATATTTTCATCTTTTTTCACTATTTGCCCATATTTGGCTACCTATCAGGTGCTATCAATCCGGGCTCGGGTGGACCTGGGAATCATAGCAATTAAGAGGTGATTCTATACCCCTCAAAACCTCTCGATTAGGGGCCTTGTTGCCGGATGTAGTTTATCGTCATACCCAGAACGATTCCGCTAGAGTGGTCACCGCCCAACGTCAGTGATCCCCGTCTACCTTACTATTTAATCATACTCATAGCTAACGGTAGTAGAGGTGAGTTAATACTGTTTCTAGTGAAGTTAACGCAATAGACGAGACCTGAAATTGAACTCGGCTCGGTGATTCCACTTTCCCTGCCAATAACCGTTTCTCTATATGTGCATTCCAGTTCTGAAATACTTTTTCAAAATGTTTACGAATTTCGTAGATTTCATTCTGATAGTCCCGATTAACGTTTAAAGTGTAATATTCTTACCTTATCTGTAGTCTCCTAAATTAGTTGATATTAAACAATTATAATCATTTAACTTGCAAAGGTTTTGTTTAGACTCACAATAACTATAAAACCCAGAACGTAGTATAGTTTCATTTAAATCCTATGTCTATTCAGAGCATAAGAGATCATGGTTTTCCTTCTTTTTCTTTATGTACCGTGTCTCTTCAGAACGTGGGGGATCATGGCTCTCCACTTCCCCCCTATCCTTTGTAGCTCTCAATAAGTTTTCTCCCTTTGCTACTTCCCCCAAGGCCATGTTCTGTCATCCACTTGCTTAAGCCCGCTATGTATGTCATGCGTTGATTTCTCTTGTCTCTCATTCCCTCTATTCGACTTGTGAGTATCAGATTCTCCACGCCCTCCTTTCTCATTACGTGTCCCAGAAATTTCAGCTGCCTCTTCCTGATGTTAAGTATAAGCTTCCTCCTTGGTTGCATCCTCTCCAAAACCCCATCGCAGCTCACACGCTCGGTCCATGATATCCTTAGCATCCTTCTGTAGAACCATATCTCCATTGCCTCGAGTCTCTTCTTCATCCAACAACTTCTTCATCTAAGAATGTCCAACATTCGCTGCCGTAAAGAAGGACAGGTTTCACGTAGCCGTTCAGTACTCTTTTCTTTGTTATCAAAGACATCCTTCTGTCTCGTAATACTTTGCCCAGGTTTTGGAATGCTTTTTTGACCATCCCAATAAGTCTTCGGCACTCAGCGTCGCACTTGCCGTCCCCTGTCAAAAAACTTCCCAGATATTTAAATTTCCGCACTCTACATATCTCTTTATTATTGTATAAACTAGTGTATTATTTATCAATAAACTAGTGTATCCGTGCCGTCAAAATAGACGTCAAGAAGGAAGGTATTATAATATGTACTATATTGTAAGTAATTTTTTGTTTAATTCACGTACAATTTTGTCATTTAGAATAGTTCGTTGTCAACGTTAATAATTAAACAGTGTACAATTTATAAACACCTAAGGAAAGATAGCCGTATTTTATCCTCATAAATGTTACCTATTTACAACCAAAATTATGTTTACTGCAAAAGTTCCAAACGAACAATATTTTTTGTGTAAACTTTGGAAGGTCTGAGTAATCCCTGAGAGTCCGTAGATTCAATCTGTAATTTCAGCGTTTGTTTATTTGTCGTACTACTAAGAGCAACGTATCATCAGATATATTTTTTAAATTGATTTTTTGTCGAGCTACTATCAGATTTCACAAGATATGCTCTGAATCGTAATATACAATAATTAAGGACAAAATATGTTTTATACAGACTCAATATCATCTAACCCACCATTTTGCAAAATCTACCATCATACGATTTGTATTTGCGAAGCTATTTTAAAATTAAATAATACGTAATAATTGCATTAGAAACTATATTAGCCATGAGAATTCTGAGAATCAAAAAGTAAAAAACGAACGGGAATAATTATTATTTCTGTTCGTTTTTACTTTTTAATTTTTCTG